CTCCTGGTTTTTCAGCCTGGTGAGTTGGGAGCTCTTATTTCGCCAACAATCAGCCCAGGAGGTGTTGATTACACAGTGTTTATACGGAGGTACTAGCTCAGGTGGTACTGATTAACCGTAGCTCCACGGGTAGTTATGACGACAGCTTGGAAACGTCAAGTTTTGTCAATATAGCCACTGTTTTCTTGATGATGCCGTTTAACTAGTACCTCCTGGTATATTCAGGGCCTATTGTTGTCTGAACAAGATCTTTCGACCCGCAATGTTTCAGTTTCTTTTCCTTATTTTGATTTGATGCGCGCACACGAAAAACACTGAAAGACAATGCAGGACCAATATCCATCAGCATGTTACCGTATGTGATCTGACGCCGTCCAGGTTCCAAATGTACCAGGCTCTCTAACTTCTTGTAATAATGCCGACAGCAGCATTACCACCATTTTTGTCTTAAAAACGAACACATTGCACGTGGCCACGTCCTTTTTGTAGTGCGCAAGCGACCGCGTTGGATACATCAGCGTACAGGAGCGCCCATGGCACTGCCGGGAGACCAACCCGGTCCACACACGTGAGTGTACGACGCGCTAACCAGCCGGTTCAGACGCCCACAGTTAACTAAAAAAATTATCGTGCCTCCCAAAATTACCACTGTAACGACCCACGTCAAACAGGCAAGTATTTGTTGCATCGTTCGATGAACAATACAATAATAATAACGACTAAGTACATGATTAAGATATCTACGTAAGATACTGACTTGCCACAGCTATCCAAATACGTCCAGTCATAAACTCACCAGCCAGGAACACGCTAGGCAACCATTCACGTTCCGGGGTATTTTGCGATGAACGATGAGTGGATATTTCATGGCAAAAGAGCGATTATTCACGGAATTTATAAAAAAACAGACACGGCCTTAATTGACGCTAAATATTTTAGACAAATCTAAGCGCAACATTTTCCCTACACAAACGTTGCAAGATGGTATATGTCATACAGCTGCAACGTCAACGATGCCCGTGATTCATTCCTTGGTATACAGCAGGTGAAACCCATACCCAAACCTTCATACCCATATGAAGCGATCATTTCGAGTAACAGGGCCGTTTTCCCCCCCCCCCCCTGCATATGCCAACCACCGTCTTAGTAAAGGAGCCACGCAGTCATGGATCTCCAAACGCGTGCTGTCGCGTACACGTAGATGGCTGTTTATCGAAACAGAACACGAACGCTCCCCTGAACTTGTCGGCGCCTGGTGTAAGCGATCTTGTGACTGTGCAGGTACCACCAGCCGACCATCCTACGCCTCCCGCATCTTGGCGATACGGAGGTAGCTGACACAGATCACACCACCTTGTCCAGGAAGAACCGCACCTGCTCCTCGGTGCGCAGTACCCTTGGCTGCTTGAACTGCTGCGTGGCGGCCGGCGTGGTGTCACACACGTGCTGACGGAACGCTGTGAACGTGCCTTCATGCACGCGCACCAGCCGCATCGGTCCAATGGCGTCCTTGACGCGGAACGACTTGTACACGTAGTGACTCTCCTGGAGCGAACGGTCGACCTCGGTAGCCTGCTCCGGTGACAACGGCGGTCCGCTCAGCTCCAGGAAGACCAGGTAGTGCGGCGGCCCGGCGGCGGCCGCCGAGTCCAGCACGCTCTCGGCCGTGGTGAAGTCGAGTAAGCGCTGGTCTGGCCACGCATCTACTGCCTGCTGGAGCGCCGCCGTGAACGCCGCCTCCGACACCTTCTCCATGTGTACATTGAGCATCTGCTTGGCGCGGAACTGGAAGTCGAAGGTGGGCGACTGGTGGAAGGTGCCGACCACGCGCACCACGTCACCCATACGGTAGCGGTACAACCCGGTGGCGTTAGTGACGACGACCTCGTAGAGCTGGCCAACGCGGACCTCTGACGCCAGCAGCGGCGCCACGTCCGGCTCCGCCTCACCCGACTCGTTCACCGGCAGGAACTCGACAAAGTTGCCGGCAGGCACGAGCGCGTAGGCCGGCGACCAGCCTGGCTCGCGCACGTTAACACCGATCATGCCCTCGGACGCTGTGTAGACGGGCGAGCTGACCGACAGGCCGCCCAGATATCGCTTGCACCGCTCCCTGTGCACGGCCATCGAGGTGCCCGACGAGAGAGCCCACACCACCCGCATGCGTGGGAAGATGCGCGGCACGATGCTGTCGAAGCCGAGCTCGAACTCCCGCTGTAGCTCGTCGGCGCGGCGCGGCTCCGGCGTCAGCAGCGCGTCGATGATGCGTCGCTGCTCGTCGCTGACTTTGAGCGTGGCGCTCAGCCGGCCGGTGCGGATGCCCTGGACGAGAAGCGGCCAGTGGCGCTCCAGGAACTGCAGCTGGTTCCACAGGCCGAACGCGAAGCCGGCGTCCCAGCAAGAGATGTCGCGGTCGCGCAGCGCCATTATGAAGCCGACATGGAGTGCCTCCGCCTCGGAGGTGATGATGTTGGCCTCAAGAGGCATGGTGTACTGACTGGACAGCAGCGCGTTGGACATGCTGTGCGCGGAGGCCGGCCCTATCTTGACGCCAGTCTTGGTGTAACGCCACCGCGGAGCGCAAGGCAGCTGCATTCTCTTCATCAAGTCCGAAGGGAAGAAAGCCTCCCCGACAGTCCCATGGAGGGCTCCAACGACATTCAGATAGATGTTCTTAAAGCCGTTCGACGTCATCGGTATATGCTTGCTGGAGCCTGTGGTACCCGAAGAACAGTAAAACATGGAGATCTTCTCGCCGGGTCCGTACAGGGCTTGCAGGTCTCCGTCCATGACCCGCTGGATGTATGGCTTGAAGTGTTCGTACTCCGTCACTGGGTGGTCTCGTCGGAAATCCTGCGGAAATAGGCTATCCGTCGTTACCACTAAGTGATAACAAACGGAAGGTGGCCCTGGCTCATTAGTGTCACGTGTTGGGTGCATAAATCCCAGCTGCCACAGGGCCATGTCATTGGGTCGCATTGCTATAGCTATAGCAGATTAGATGAGAATTGCTTACTTGCATCCATTACACAGGCGTGAATGTGATGCTGCGTCAATGTGGCTGTAAACACAACATTGTGGAAATGGGGGCCTAACCTGGCTTTCCCAACTTAACCTAACCTAACCTAACCTAACCTAACCTACCTAACCTAACCTAACCTAACCTAACCTAACCTAACCTAACCTAACCTAACCTAACCTAACCTAACCTGACCTGACCTAACCTAACCTAACCTAACCTAACCTAACCTAACCTAACCTAACCTAACCTAACCTAACCTAACCTAACCTAACCTAACCTAACCTAACCTAACCTAACCTAACCTAATCTAACCTAACAACCTAGTTGCCTTAGTTGCGTACTTTGGCAATGCAATTTAGTGACCATGCCTCAAATCACCGGGCACAAGACGGGGTATCCTCCCTTCCAGTGTTGTAGCTAAAGGAGATTTGCAGAAATCATAGAGAAAGAATTGTTTACATTTCCGGCGTCGAACTTCCCTTTCGAAGTAGTAATCATTTGAGTTCTCCTGCACTGGCTCAAAATATGGTAAAATTTCAGACGCCTCTATTTCGTTGCTTTTAATTAGCACATAGAACTTCATCTACAAACCAAATTTCATAGGAATCCAAGTTGTCTGAGCGTATGACTCTGACTGTGTAGACCCAAAGACTTTTAAATGTTTGGCTTTCTATCGGTTTCTTTGGGAAGAACATGAAGAGCTCGTGTCCACACCAAATTTGATTGCAACATAAGTATTGGGAATGCATGACGGACTAGGTGGGCTCGAAAATGTTAAAATTCTAACTCTATAATGTTCCTTTTGATCAGCAAATAAAATTGTATGCACACACCAAGTTTCATTTAAATCCGATCACTCTATATGTATATATGTTTTTTGCAAGGCTCACAGAGTTTCAAATGTCCAGTTCTATTAGGTTTTTTTTTAAATCAACCTACAGAGATTCCTCCCATTACCGACTTATATGCCAATCGAAAATTCGTCCGGGTAGAGGTCCATCTACAGACAGATGTTCTCCACAGATGGAAGTTTCCACCGCAGGGGCGAGCATTAGTTTCCTTGCTCGTAGTTTGATCAAAATGCGAGTAGTTCACATACTTTGGCTCTCACTCCGGGAACCCCAGCATTGCACAGTCAACCTGTATAATGTTCCTTAATAAGCATGTGAGACTCTCCGCAAACCGAGCGTCATAAAAGACAGGAGAGATCGAAACGCTCCACATATCTTGCATGCATGCATATCTAGCCCTAGAAAGTTGCGTTAAATTAGTACAGGACATTATGTATTATGTATTCATACGACGTAAAATTGCAATGCAAGCAATCCGGGTGCGTTTTGCTGGTTCCATAAGCTTCAAACGCTGCGGTAGAACAACTTCATGCTGTTGCTCTTTAGAATTAGCATACCAAACTTTGCCTTCACACCACGTTTCATCGAAATCCGAGGAACTCTGATATGTGAAGCTGACCCATGAACTAGAAACACTTCAGAGATCTAGTTTCTTAACGTAATTGGCCGGAATTGGCAAGTCGAAAGCTCTATGTCCACCACCCAGTTCAATCCAAGTCCAGGTCGTCCCTATCTATGACTCTGACTCAGAGAACTCAAGTATATGATACCCACCACGATAGATCTGTTTTCAAAACAAACGTGCATGCCTTCAAGTCTTACGAACTTGCATTGCAACTCAAGTAATCCAGAGAGTTGACTCTGACTCGGTGAACTCAAAAGTGTGTACTCGTTGATCTCTATGATGCTGTTTTCCAGAATCAACTTGCCAAGCTCTAAGATTCTAAGTTTGCCACAATCAAAATTGTCAGGAATATCCTTCGATAGAGGAATATAGATCTGCTGCTTATGTTCAACAAATGTGGGAGGATAACAAACGGTTTTTGTGACCTGTATTAAAAATATATCGTGAGTGCCAAAAGCTTCTTTGAGGCTAAACAAAGACAGAGTTACATTTATCCATAAGGTGGTACTTTAACTGCAACATAGAAGCATTCTAACTTATGAATATAAAGATACTATTTAACATCGGTAGAAGTCTGAAGATGATTTTTCCTTAACCTTATTTTGCACGGAATCAGCAAAATCAACGCTCATCAATGCGTTTTTAATGCGCACAATGCGCACAGAGCATCACTTGTTATCTTGTATTGTTGATTTAAACAGGCTTGAAGAGAAAGTGCAATTGGTTGGAGGCAAGAAATAATATGAGATTTGTGGCTTGGTGTCTGTTGGGAAACTGCTGGAAAGGCTATATATATATATATATATATATATATATATATATATATATATATATATATATATATATATATATATGAGATTTGTGGCTTGCTGTCAGTTGGGAAACTGCTGGAAAGGCCATATATATATATATATATATATATATATATATATATATATATATATATATATATATATATATATATATATATATATATATATATATATATATATATATATATATGAGATTTGTGGCTTGGTGTCAGTTGGGAAACTGCTGGAAAGGCTACATATATATATATATATATATATATATATATATATATATATATATATATATATGGGAGAAGCATGTACTTGGTGTGCGTGTACTGTATGATGACTGAATGCTTTACCCCGTCACTCCCTTACTCATAGCCAATGCAACAATCGATTATCCCACGTCATTATATGCATACGTACATATCTTTTGGAGCTTGGAGGTGCAAGAAGTTGTCAGTGCTGGCACGTACGGAGTGCGCCCGTAGTGAAGGTCTGGATCGCGACTCATTTCGTCGGATATCCCGTTGAAGATCATGCTGTCCGATGTTTCGGCTACGACCTAACCGTGTGACGACGAAAAAAGCTCGGCGTTCTAATGTGGGTAATACTTGTTATGACCCATAGTCAGAGTTTGGCCGCTGCACTGCTACCCCGTCCCCCTAGAGCCGATGGCACTGACCCACCTCTAACGAGTGTATCTCAGAGAAGCGGTGATCGCGGCCGTAGTCGCTGTCCTCGTTTTGGCGCAGCGTGGCCAGCACGAAGAGTTCCTGGGTGCGGTACAGGTCGCGGTACCCGGCATACTGGCGCCGCCAGCCGTAGGCGCCCACTAGCTGACTGGCGCGCCGCATCAGGTACAGCAGCAGCAGCGAGCGCCACGTGTGGAACCGAGAGCGAGGCATCGACACCAGATCGATGGTGACCAGCAGCAGGAGTGCCACCACACCTGCGTCAGAAGGCGGCGGTGTCAGGACGAGTTTATTGGTCAGGCACAGTGGTCCAGCCTTCGTCACATCTGAGGCGTACTGTCACCGGAACTGGGGAGGATCGGCTTGTCATCTCCGTTTTCCTTCCCATCCTGTTTTTCAATAAAGTGTTTTGGAATATTTGGGACCATCTACGTCGTCGATACAATAAGTCTGAGGATAAATGGCAATAAATGCAGAGCTTATCTCCCAACTCCTCAATGATGGGAAACAAAATATTCGAACTTAGGAACAGCTCCAGAATAAATTCGCATAGGACGAGAATGTTGACGCATGACTTGAATGCTTATCCATGTTTCCATTTTAAGAAACTGGGTCGCACGTGCCCAGTGATAAGGCATTTTCCCTTTCATCTTTGGTACGTTTATTGCATTCATGCTCATCGCAAATAGTGTTGCTACGCATGGAAATGGGAACTGGATGAATGCTCAACCTGCCTTGGATATACTGATCTACGCATTGCAAAATAATATTGAAGCCAAGACGAGCTCAATGGCTGTTTTTGATTGAATAGGGCTATAAACCTCTGTACTGATAATGATCCCAGAGTTTGTTGTCTCCGGCTTATCGAAGCCGGTTCCTGTTGTTTCAATCAAAGGTCAGCAGGTCAGAAAGGGCCGTCTCCACAGGGGGAACAGCGCGTCGTCCATTCGTCTCTGCAAGTGCGAGTACACACTCAGGTTGTCTGAGGACCGCACTTCCTTTACAGCACGTAGCACAGCTAACTGACTTAATTGCGATTATTTTGATAATTGCGTGATTATTATGATAATTGCGTGATAGAATTTAGTGGCGTGTTTTTAGACAAGCAGCTGATTTCGCACCAAGTCTAAAAGCACGAAAAATGGGATAAGCAGAAGTAAAGGCCGTTATGTGTCACAAGGGTTTTCAAAATAGCCGTGAAGCTTTAGGTTGGATATCGGATTAGTTCCATCTGTTAATTCTGTTCTGTTGTTTCACCCGTACGTAATTTTATATTTGTAGTACGTGATAATCCACAAATGCAGCACGATGGGTGTGATGTGCCTTTTGCCTAATGCCTTTTGATGAGGCAAGAGTGGCACCACAGTAAAATTCACCGATTATTTTGATAGGTCTGCCGGCGAGGAGTATCTTTTATCCTTTAACATTCTATTCTTCGTGCATTTCAGGCTTTGTACCAGGTTCTGTTGTCTAATACAGCTAGCATAAAAAGGCTACCGGGACACTCACCGTCTGTCGTCGCAAGTCTATGAT